TTCCCAAATTCCCAAATTCCCAAATTCCCAAATTCCCAAATTCCCAAATTCCCAAATTCCCAAATTCCCAAATTCCCAAATTCCCAAATTCCCAAATTCCCAAATTCCCAAATTCCCAAATTCCCAAATTCCCAAATTCCCAAATTCCCAAATTCCCAAATTCCCAAATTCCCAAATTCCCAAATTCCCAAATTCCCAAATTCCCAAATTCCCAAATTCCCAAATTCCCAAATTCCCAAATTCCCAAATTCCCAAATTCCCAAATTCCCAAATTCCCAAATTCCCAAATTCCCAAATTCCCAAATTCCCAAATTCCCAAATTCCCAAATTCCCAAATTCCCAAATTCCCAAATTCCCAAACTCCCAAACTCTCAAACTCTCAAACTCCTAAATTTCCAAATTCCAAAATTCCCAAACTCCCAAATTCCAAATTCTAATTTCCCAATTTTCTAAAACCCCAAATTCCCAAAAATTCACATTCCGAAATTTTCACTTTATTCTCCAAATTCTCCAATCCAACCTCAGTCCACATAACCAAAATCACCAGCACGAACCAAAAGGTTTATATAACGGATCTATCGACGACGGAAAATCACTTGCACCACGCGAATGCGTTCCAAGCTGGTGTTAATAACTTACGTAACTATTTTTCTGTTAACCGTGTTTACAGAATCATCAGAGATCATTCGTTTATAGAGGTTAATACAATGATCAAACTAAAATAAACGTTCTCAATCTCGGACTCGTGTAGGATTCGACACGCGAGGGTGTTTAAACGGCGAGAAGAAAAATCGCAGAAGCAGATGTTGGCGAAACGGAAGTGAAAAAAGAATGGTAGACAGGAAGGTGTAGGCGTCAGCTACGATTCAATCGGAAACAAAAGAACAGGTGTTGGAATAGCCAGTTCGACTCTTCTTTTGATACATTCGAGGTCAATTACGGTAGATTAGGGAACGTGTTTTAAGCTTGAAAACTTTTAGAGTAACAATATTTACGAGACAATATTTATTGACTGTGTTTGGGAATTTGAGGACTTGGAGATTTTACGATATAGTGATTTAGAAGGTTAGGAATTTTTTCATTTTCGGAAGCTTGAAAATATGGGATCTAACAATTTAGAAATTTAGAAATTACTTAACTTTGTTTGGAAATTTGGGGATCTTAAAATTTAGGAATTTGGAAAATTAGAAACTTAGAAATTACTGAACTTTGTTTGGAAATATGAGGATATTTAAGTATTTGAGAAAATGAACTATAAATTGAAAAATTTAAGGACTTGGGAATTTAGAAACTTAGAAATTGTTGAACTTCGAAAATATGAAGATAAGTTTTAAGAATTTGAGAAATGTAGGGTCTGACAATTTGGAAATTACAATCACATTAGACACATTAGACTTCACATAAACTGTAGCAAGTTATGCAATGAAATCAGCAAACATTATACGAGAGTAAGAACCAAGTCTCATGAATTTATATTCCAGCGTTATATTTATGGACGTCAATGTAAATAGGTTTTAGTGAATCGATTTGGACGATCCTCATGAATCGGTAGCTGGTGAATGCATGCGTTCTCGAGCAGAGTTACCGTTTCCACGATCACAATCAAGGGAAGGGGTGAGTTGGCCCGGTGACCTAGTTTATTCCCAGGGGTTGAATGAACGCCACTGAACGCGATGACGTCATTCTCGACCTCATTTCCGGTTCCCGGTACAGCCAGCTATCCCAGCTCCGTCCCGTTGACCCGAAATTTCTCGTGAATCGAAGGACGCTCGTTCATCCCGAGCCATTCTACCGGCTATGAATGAATTTTCCGCATACGCGTTGCACGACTTGCAAAAAACTCCGACTTCGTGATCCTCATACGGTCACAACATCGTTATCTTAATCCTTATACAGCTCTTTACTTCGTCGACGAGTTACCTCTTCGCAGATTATAATTAGGTACGTGTATGTGTACAAACATTGTTATCTGTTATGTGGGCTTCCTTTAGATACGGACATGCGCGGATAGATACAGTTTCTACTTACTTTTTCGGTTCTGAATATGGAAAATCGAGTTATCTCAAATCTTTCGATTTCTAATTTTTTAGCTTTTTTTAGCTAAATTCATGAATCCATCATTGTTAAACTTCCAGGTTTCCAAAGTTACAAATTTTAACCCTCTGCAATCCCCTTTGAGGAGACATTTTAAATGGCAAAATAAACTTTCGGAGTGCAAAGGGTTAAATCCCTAAATTCTCTAAATCTCTCAAATTTCACGAGTTCTCCAAATTCCATAAATTCTCCAAATCTCCCGAATTTTCCAAATGCACGAATTCCCAATTTTCAACGCCCCAAGCTTTTACAATTGGAAAGTTTGCGAAATTCTTTCTTTCCGAGTTTGAATACAGGTAATTTTCGCGTCCCTGCACCGAACGGATTTCTAAACGAACAATTCGAGGAAAGGCGTCAAAAATGATGGTTTCGAAGGGTCTCAGTTTCAAACTGTTACCTCTGACAGCGGGTTTACATTGTAACGCGATGCCCTTTATCCCTGGGGATCACTTTCCACTACAAGATTTATAACCATCCGGTTGTACACTAAATTATACGGAACCTTTGTAACAGGGATGTAACAACGAAATTCGCAAACGTCACTGGTAAATTTATTTGTAAATAAAATGAAAAATGATACGATATGCAACTGGAAATACGGTGAAATAATGTGTACATTAAGTTTCATGTTTATTATTTATTATAATAAATTTGAAATTAATTTCAATGATAGTTTGTGAGGTTATCTATTTAAAATCAGTTTGATTCTGAAACACTTTTGTGGAGATGCTTTCGTTACTTTTAAAGCGGACTTACTTCACATATCATAGGAATTGTATAAAGGTCACAAACTCATAAAGATACAATGTTTATACGATAAATAAGATTACAAGATCACAATATTACATTACGAGATCTTAATATTTCAAAATTGCAGGATGATGAAATTACAAAAGTACAAAATTACAGAACTACAAAACTATAGAATTACAAAACTACAAAACAGCAAAATCGCACAATTAAAAAATAGCAAGATAACAATATTGAAAAAATCAGAAAAATTGTACAAGGCAACCAATCACGTCTGTACGTCCCTGAATTTTACAGGCCCATTCAAGGTATTAGTGTCAGCCAGGCTTTTGAGGCTTTGCCTGTTAACGAAGTCGATTGTCGAGTGAAATTTACACCATGAATCGCGTATACACCTGCTCGAACAGCTCCTCTGTTGGAGTGGTTCAGGTATCTTGCCAGGTAGGAAGACTACAAATCACAATATCGTTCAAAGGTTGCATCCTTGGAGGGTGTTCGTTCTCCTAACTGTATTGTAATCCCTCGAAAAAGATTTTTTAAGTAAATTTTGTAAGACCAAGCATCTTCGAATTAATACCTGTGACGAATGCTTTCAAGCTTTTCAGCTTGCAGTTTTTCTTGTCTCTGGTTTAACGCTAAATTCTCGAACTTCCATCTTTTCCTTATATTGTAGTGTAAGTATAAAACACCCAGTATGTTTTGTCTTGTTAAATACGACAGAACTAAGTTACTGTTGTTGAAACTAAGATTTGTTGCATTTTTTTGTATTTACAATTTTTACATGTTGATGATTATGCAACCTCGTTTTGAATAAATTTGTATAATATAAAAAAATTGAGCATACTATTGTTATTATTTTTGGTAGGATAAACATGTATGTTTTTTAGAACCGAAAATATTTAATGAAAGATTAATGACTACGTATCAGTGTATTATTATTCCCAAACCCGCAAGTTCCTAAACTTCGAAGTCTGCATATTAATAAATTTTACTACGTTCAAATTGAGAAGCAATATTGTACTATTATAAATTATCGCGTACTATTATAAATCATAATATTGTAATATAAATTATCAGCCATCGAGTAAGGCCATTTCAGTGAAACAAACGTTGCACCTAAATTCTCGTCTCAGTCATTCGATCGCACTATCGCAGACCATCTGTCGCCAAATATTTGAATTTTCTTCGATCTCTCCTTCCATCGCGTCGCGCTCGAGGGCGGCAGAAAACTCGCTCGGGAGAATATTTCGTGATTATTGTCGGCGCACGGCACCAATACATATAAACATTAATGTCGTAACCGGGATATAAATGTTTGATAGAGAAGCATTCGGGCTTTAGTAGCAACTGTCGTCACCACCGCGATGGAATCTTTAAGCTTCGACGTGACGAAGAAAACGCTCGCGTTAACAAGAGCGGAACTTCCTGTGCCAGCAGCGAACGAAGTTCGAATTAGAGTTGCCTACTCCGGGATCTGCGGGACTGATCTTCATATACTAGACGTGGGTCGTTTATATTCCTTCATTATCGCCTTATAGTGAGTCACTGATGTATTCGTAGCCTCACGATTTAATTTATTCGCTTCTGGATTAACGTATAACAAGTACGTGCTTAACACTAAAACTACCAAAGCGGTCAAATGACCACTCCACAAGTTTCTTATTATAAAGAACACATTTTGTTAAAATACATTTCTTAAAATTATTTTTACATGTTGATGATTATGCAACCTCGTTTTGAATAAATTTGTATAATATAAAAAAATTGAGCATACTATTGTTATTATTTTTGGTAGGATAAACATGTATGTTTTTTAGAACCGAAAATATTTAATGAAAGATTAATGACTACGTATCAGTGTATTATTATTCCCAAACCCGCAAGTTCCTAAACTTCGAAGTCTGCATATTAATAAATTTTACTACGTTCAAATTGAGAAGCAATATTGTACTATTATAAATTATCGCGTACTATTATAAATCATAATATTGTAATATAAATTATCAGCCATCGAGTAAGGCCATTTCAGTGAAACAAACGTTGCACCTAAATTCTCGTCTCAGTCATTCGATCGCACTATCGCAGACCATCTGTCGCCAAATATTTGAATTTTCTTCGATCTCTCCTTCCATCGCGTCGCGCTCGAGGGCGGCAGAAAACTCGCTCGGGAGAATATTTCGTGATTATTGTCGGCGCACGGCACCAATACATATAAACATTAATGTCGTAACCGGGATATAAATGTTTGATAGAGAAGCATTCGGGCTTTAGTAGCAACTGTCGTCACCACCGCGATGGAATCTTTAAGCTTCGACGTGACGAAGAAAACGCTCGCGTTAACAAGAGCGGAACTTCCTGTGCCAGCAGCGAACGAAGTTCGAATTAGAGTTGCCTACTCCGGGATCTGCGGGACTGATCTTCATATACTAGACGTGGGTCGTTTATATTCCTTCATTATCGCCTTATAGTGAGTCACTGATGTATTCGTAGCCTCACGATTTAATTTATTCGCTTCTGGATTAACGTATAACAAGTACGTGCTTAACACTAAAACTACCAAAGCGGTCAAATGACCACTCCACAAGTTTCTTATTATAAAGAACACATTTTGTTAAAATACATTTCTTAAAATTAGAATTGATTTTCATCAAGATAAAGAATAAGTGTGAGTACTAATTTATATTTCGTCGTTCGTTCATTAATTTTTAGCTTCATTTTTAATTTCAAAATAAGTGTACATTATACACCGGTAGGTTTAGTGTTAAGATATCGAGTGAAAAGCGCCAATGAAATTTTCTGAATTCTAAAATCTTTTTCTTAACGATAGTGATAGAATAAACACATTTTATTTCGTTGCATGTTTCGTTTGGATAAATAAAATTTTATTTCGCGGTTATTGTTGATGTGCTTACTGCTACAAAATGGAGACGCAGGGGACTCATCAGTGACTACTCTTTGGTTTAGGAATATACTTTATTACACTTTCGAACTTAGAAATGTGAGATTTGTAAAATAAAAAAAATTGGAATTTGTAAAATAGTGGGTTCGGAATTTTTGGAATTTCAAAATGTTTAAACTTGAAAATTTAAAAATTTGAAGATATCCCTTGATTCGAAGAATTATGAACTTAAGGATTTAAAAATTGTAGACTTTCACGAATTAGGAGTTTGAAAATCTAGATATTTCAGAATCTGAAAATTTGAAGATTTTAAAAGAATTGAATTCAAAATTCAACAAAGATATTTGAAGAATTAAAAATTCATTGCGAATAGCGCACATATTAACCACCTTATCTGTAACATGCCTTTCACAATGATTTTTAATGACGTGCATACTGCCATTCCCGCGGAGCTCGTATCATTGTTTAATTTTCGTATCTAATATCGGTCTGAAAGGGGGCTTTTAATCTCATTTTTTCCTCGCGTGTTTCATACAGAAACTTTTTCTCTTTATCCGAGGTTACGTGACTTCAAACAGTGTGGTTGGGCCACGTGAACGTTGCATAATTTCTTAACATGTACATATGAAATATTTTCATTCAAGCCTATAGTTTCGTGATACAATGTTTCCAATGACAAATATTCGCCAAACACGATATCGGTCGAGAGGCATTTTAATCGACCACGCGTTTCTTTTCTTAGATTGGAATATTACCACCGGCGTACAAAAAATCCTTTTGTTCTTTAATATCAGGCCATAACCGCGATAAGCAAATGTAAGCATTGTTGTTTAATGCCTTCCTAACAGAACATTATGTTTCTTATCGTATGAATACAGAGATAATATCTTAATCGGTGTTTCAAACATTTTAAAATTCACAAAATTTCAAATGTATCATAGAAAACGGAATTTGTTTCAGGGATCGTTCCCGTGCAAGCGGTCAGGTCTTCTCACCCTTGGCCACGAGTTTTCCGGAACAGTCGACGCGGTTGGATCCTCCGTGAAAAGTCTGAAAGTTGGTCAAAAAGTGGTAGTCGACCCCAACAGTGGATGCAATACTTGTGATTACTGTCACGGTGGAAATTATCATTTTTGTGACGCCGGTGGTATAAACAATACCGTGGGAATCTACAGAGATGGCGGATGGTCCACGCACGCTGTGGTTCCAGAGAACCAGGTCTGTATTTCCCAATCTGTATCGAAAAAAACCTGTCAGAGATTCACGAAGGTTCAACAACTCGACCTTGGTTAAATACACTTTCAGATTATTATCTATGTACACCATATCGTGGGTAAACTTTCTTTTCTGAAATTGTATTCTATTGATAGCTGGACTCGTGTTTATTAAGACCTTTGTGTTTTCAAGTTTGACGATAACTTTTTATGCGCCTTGTTTCTATCTCTGTTCTAAGATTACATGAAATAATCAATTCCGTAATGTGATATGGACGTATCATGTTTTATCTTAATCCTTTAAATATACTCTGTGATAGATGCACGTAGAATCAAATTAATCTACATATCGTTAAAAATGTATAAAAAATTTTAAATATATTTTCATTGGTAAATATGTACATTTAAGCATAGTCAGCTTTGCGTATGTCTTACACGGAAGAGTATTGCGACTATACATATTATGTAATATTTATTGGGTTCAAGTGGGTTATGTAATATTTATTGGATTCAAATAATGTTATTTATTTGGTACAATTCGTAAATTACTCGTCATTAATATTTTCTTTGTTTTTATCGTTTTCGTCCAGGTTCATGTGTTGCCCGATGGGATTCAAATGCATCAAGCAGCTCTCACCGAACCACTCTCGTGTTTGGCCCACGGATGGGACAAAATTAACCCCGTCCACGTTGGTCTTAATGTGCTCGTAATTGGCGCAGGAATAATCGGCCTTTTGTGGTCATGTCTATTGCATTTGCACGGTCTCCGGAAAACAGTCACGGTCAGCGAGCCCCAAGAGAAGCGACGAAATATGGTGACGAAACTTGGTAATTAAAATTCTACGTGTGTAATAAAACATATTGAATTTAAAGTCAAAATTTTAGAAATTTTCTAACTAAAAAAAATTATAAAATTCTTAAAAATGTACAAGCTTTTACGTATGCAAGGACCTTTGTACCTATTTCTACAAATCTATTTGGCAATATAACGAAAGGCAACTGTACCCATTACTTTTTGCCTCGGGTCCTGCGAACTCTAAGTTCTGCGTTATAATATACAAAGTGTAGCGATACATGTAGCATATAGCTATACTTTATATGTCGTGAAAACCATGCTTCAAATAGTAATAATATTTCAGATCTCGACTATGAGGTGAAGAACCCGAAGGAAGTAAAAGAAGGATTCGACCTGGTTGTGGATTGTAGTGGTTCAGGGCCGGCTATGGAAGCGGCTGTTCCTTTGTTAAGACGCGGTGGTCGTCTCTGTGTATTTGGAGTCGCTAGTCCCAATGCAAAATTGACCATCGAACCATTCCAGGTAAGTTACTCATAATTATAACGTCATTATTCCAGGCAGTTGAATCACTATGTATCCAGCAATAGATCATCGCTGAAGTATTTCAAACATCCGGATATGAATAGCTTAAAATTTGATTTCCTTTCTTAACAGGTTTACATGAAGGAGTTAAACATTATAGGCGTAAATATAAATCCATTCACATTCCCCAAGGGATTGGCTTTATTAAAAGCTATGGGCGATAGATACCTTAATTATGAGAAACTGGGTATTAAAGTTTACCTTTTGTCTCAATACCGTGAAGCATTAGAGGCGTTGAAGCGAGGAGATATCAGTAAAGCTGTTTTTAAATTAGAGTGAAAGTATTGAACAATTGTCAATATGAAATAAAGTACAATTCGTATGTTAATTGGCTCGTTTAATCGTATAATCCTGAAAGAGAAATTGAGTAGGTACTAAAAATCACGATGATTGGTACTTGAAATTTTCATTTATTAAAATCCATATTAATCTAGAGGTAAATATAAAATTGCAAACTCGTAAAAAGGTCATACAAAATGTTACATACTTGAGATTCTACGCGCTTCCGTGCTTATAGTACCATGAGTTTGTCTTGGTAATACAAGACAAAAGATCCCTGTTATGAGTATGCAGTCTATGCGCTTGATAACACACGATATAAAATATTCTAATTACGATCGTATAAATAATTTCATCTACAATATACAACCGTTAATCTAGATCTAAAACAAATGACATGATTTGTATCATGATCGAGATACTAACATGTATATTAATTTTTTTCTTCTCATTTGCCAAACTTTACATAACAAGGCAGCTATAGAGTGTCGTTATCATTATTATTAATATCATTATTTCGCATTCTTCTAATAGAGCATTAACAAGTATTTACGATGTATTGCTGCACTTTTGAGCTGCCACCAGAGATATCTGGAAGGTTGCATTGTTATATACCTATATATAATATTAATACATTTCGTAACATTATTATCAACCACTTCATTCGTGTTTATCAGTTGTACTGATGTATGAAAAAGATTATACAATATACATATCTAAATATGTATATCGAACTATTAGTACTTAGTAAAATTACTTTGCTTTTTTTCACTATGCGTAGTTATGCACTTTATCTGGAATGTTAGTTTGTACCTTGCCAACGTGTATTATATTGCTGGCCCCTAATAATTTCGTTATGTTCGCTAATCATTAATCAATTTCGTTTGTAAATAACTACAAAAATAATTATCTAAAAAGTGTTTAAAACAAATGAGGCCCCTAGAGTTATTTATGTATAATATAATATTATGTATATTTATGAAAAATGATGAACCACATTAATATCAGCAACCATTTGGACGAACTGCATCGACTCGCCGTTGCCCACTGGAGTCCAGGGTAATTAATATTTGGCGTAGAAATTTCTGAAAATAGCAATATTGATTTAGAAACGAAACAGGACGATTCTGTAACCCACATAGGCTATAAAACTTGGAGTACAAAGCAGCAAAAAATATTTGTAAAACAACATACCTCATAACAACCGTAATAAATAAAACTAAGACTACCAAAAGTCCTGAAGAAACTCGTTCTACTCCAGCCCCATAATAAAGAGCTTGGCCACAAGCTGGTGGACACACAGGGACAGTTGTTTCTGCGCAAAAAAAAACGAGGAACATCTAGAACATGCTAACTACGAAACTCAAAAAATCAATAAAATAGCAATAATAAAATTGTTGCTTATAAATGCGCAAAAAAAAAGAACAAATTAAACTTTATATAAATACACAAATTTTATCATGCACAATCTATAAATATATACACATTTATCTACAACGTTATATAATTAGCATTATAATTATAAAAATGAAGTATTATACATTAATTAGGTTTGCATTATATACACATATGGATTTATATGTGTTTTAGAATACATACCAAATAATTCTACTCTTGTTTCTGCAGTTCCTAACTTATTAGCAGCTTTGCAAACGTATTCTCCATATTGTTTCTTTTCAATTGTTATTACTCTGATTGTTGTATCAGTATACTGATCTGCAGTTGCAAAATGTGATATACTGTAGTGCTGGTTATTTGATAATACATTACTATCCTTAAACCATGTAATAGCTGGAGGAGGATAAGCTTCAACATGACATTCTAAATCCATATCATACTGCAGTGCTTGACCAAGTCGTGGTCTGGGTGCACTGATCACAGGTGCAAATTCAACTTCAACATTAATGTTACGTCTAGCTCCACGACCTACTCCATTTTCAGCAACACAGTAATATGTTCCACGGTCTTCTTTACGAATTGCAGGGATCTTCAATGTATTGCCACTGTAATATTTTCATTTAAACAGAAAACTCAAATAAACATATAATTATGAGTGTATAAATTGCCTACCGATAAATTGATCCACCAGTTGGTAAAATAGCATTATTTTCTCTACGCCATGAAATTCTAGGTGCAGGAAATCCACCTGCATAACATTCTAGTTGCACAGGTTGTCCCTCGCTGACAACAAGAGATCGAGTTGAATTATCACTTATAATAGGTGGTCTACGAACTTGCAGTTCAACGTTTGCAGTTACATAGTTGTTCAAAGATATTAGCACTTTGCATTGATAAAATCCAGCATCAGTTTCTTGTATGTCTTTTACCTAAAATAAGTATTATATTAATATTAGTTACTTATACAAATAAAGAAAATAGTTAGAATTTACATACATTGCTTAAAATAATTAAAGAATCAGTTAATGTAAAGGCTTCTTTATTAAAACACTTTTATTATAAGTGTTTTGAACATTCCTAAAAATAATAGCCTATTGTTACTATATTTAAGCTGTATTTATGAATCCTTTAATTATTTTGAGCCATGCTTATGTTGCTTTTATAAACAAAATCACCTGTAGTATATAACTAGATGTAGCCTCATCGTGTTTAAGAGCAAATCTAGTATCTGTTATGATTAAAGAACTACCATGTGAAAGAGGCAACTGATCATTTGCCATATCTTTATTAATTTTTATCCATATAACTGGGAAATCTTGTGCATATTGAACAGAGCAACGAAACTCTACAGTCCCTCCAATATCTTTAATTTGTTCTTGAGTAATGTAAGATATTGTTGGTGTACGTTGACCATAAACTAAAAAATGTTAACAAACTTTCTTCTAAATGTAAATAAATATTAAGCTCATAAACATGCATGAAATGTAATCCATTGAGTGACTTTGAATAAATATCACATCAAGTTACTACAATGTAGAAAAAGTTCTAAAACTATTTATTCTCCACCACCTAACTTTCTTTTCTCATGATGAAACTAATTTATATAACGTAATATTAGCAAACTTTAATTTAACAATTGAATCTTCAACATTTAAAAGAAAACAACCTGTAACGTTTAAGTCACACAATATATATAAAATAGAATTTTACATGTGGAAACTGTTCTTATAGAAGTGGTATAATTCATAATCCTTTCTTCAAGTAATTTTAAAAAATACAAAATGGGAGCATACAATGCTCAAGGTTCTGAAGAAGGATACCATAAAACAATGAAAGAATGTTTCAAAATTTTACTTTCTGCTATAGCAAGAAAATAAAATAATATTCAAAATGTACAAATCATAAATATGTGACTTTAAAGTTACATCGTGTTACAGAGAGTTAAACTACATTAAATATTTATTAGTGCTCCATTTTGTTAATTCATTTTCAACTAATAATAAGTATTGATAACTGCATATGATTTCTAGTACGTACAACGTAGTACGTGCAAGTAAGTCATTCTGTTTTTTACCTGTTTGTAAAAAGACGAACACCAAAATTATATACATAGTCTTCATTATGACACACCCACTGGCGTCTTAACGCCGCTTGTATAAATTTTATTTTTTATATGTTTTTCTAATATTAAATTAATATCGTTGAACAACGCAACGACGCACGTTGACAGTAATGTTGTCGTCACTGTCACGCAACACAAACAGATAGTAATGAACAAGAAGCAATGCCGTAGATATCTGTTGATCGAAAATAAATATGGCGAATGACGCTACATCTTTGATCAAGCGATACATTAAAAATTAGATAGTTAATATTCCTCACGCGAATTACTTATATCAATTAGCGCATTATTTTATGTACTATTTAAATTTTTTATTTATTTTTATTACCTACTCTTGCATTTTTGTAAATAATGATTTTGATTACGGTCAATAATTTCTTAATTGACTCGCCGAGTAGATTCAAAGTTGTGGTACAGTTAAACGTATCGGATACAGTACTAAATTTCTATAAACAAAATACAGTGTTTCCCTTTAAAAATAACGTATTATTACAACATACTTTAATAATTTGACTAACAAAGAACATATAAATGTTGCGTAGTTGTCATCAAGTTTTATTTTTAATTCATATTTCTGCATTTTTGTTTATTTCTGAAGAAATGGCGGCGCTAACAAATCACGTTGCTTTATTGCCCAACGTACTATTAACGTCTTTGATTTTTATCTTTCTAATTATTAAAAATGCCTTTTTTGATTATTACTTTAACTTTTCTATTTCTTATGATAATAGTACATAGCACCCACCCATATTTAGGTGAATCATGTCCAATTTACTTCACTTGACTTCGGTGATCTTTTACAAGTACCGGTAAACTCCATATCTTATTTTTATATGTTTAATATCCGCTAAAGCGATAATCTACATTTAATTTTATCTTGTATATTCCAATCATTTTTTACATTTTACATTATTTGTTTGAAAATTATTTCCTAGCATACTGTGGATTCGAAATTGATATGTATAAAATTGTAGTCGAAATACAATTAGGTAGACAATTACTTGTAGGCAATTACCTATCTGATAGACATCTATCTAATAACCATCTGGCACCGTACGACTGTTATTAAAACTTGTTTTAATGTTTCTGTCTCTACATTTTTTTTATTATTGCGTTGAAGTTACAAAACTATTACAGGATTATAACATTGATATTAACTATTACAAACTACTTCGCTAAAAAATTTTCTATGTAATTTTCAGACTGATGTAATTACGAAGGGAAGTTATGCACGATGTCAGGAATCTATATAAAATACTATTTTAGGAAAATCGACTGCGCACATCCACGTAAGTACTTAGTTTAAAACAAATTATCTAGTTTATATATATCTTAACAAGCAGTGAACCAGAAAAATAGTGGAATAATAAAATAGTAAATGAATAAGTACAATGACAATATAGTAGCATGGTATAGTGTAACACCGCCAAGTAATTAATAATAAAAAATAAGTATTACAAAAATTTTCGAAACGTTGTATTAAAAATAAGATAAACTTTTTCGATACACAGTGGTCGTTATTTCTACATAATTGTAAAACTTGTTATTTCAGAATGTCTATGTCGCATGTGAACACGTATTCACCCCTCTGCTAGTATTTCAAGTTCGCAAGAAAATCACTCGACAATGTGATACACATGTACATATATGATCACGATACGTAACATGTGTTGTGCTCGTTCTGTAACCATAGCGATCCGAAAACCGTATTGTCTCATTACATTCGTCGATCGCAGACCTATACAAAGGTTAAAATCCTTGATATCCTTTCACGTGTGTAAGACATGTATACCAATAATTGTATCACGTATAGATTCTATACGATGTATCGAGTATCTATACATTTCTGCTTGTACATAACATCCAACGTAAAAAGGGAAAAAGTGTTTCCAAAAGCAACGTTACCGTTGAGGTTATTATACGCGAGGTAACATAATGTATGGAGAGGATGACAAATCTGTATGAAAAACATTCATAGTCATCCATTACACACACATACATACACACACACCTGAATGAAATGACGTTTATTTAGTTTGTGTAGAGCGCAGACGAATTAGTATGAACATATGTGGAAGAATATCGAAACACGAACCACGCTCGCGAATACACGTGTGCCTATTCGTACAAAGGTATGTGTATAGTTACTATTCGTAAATAACACACGCATGGCCATGTGTGCAATATATAAGTATCATCCTACCACGAGGAGGTCAGTATGTGTCACAGTATTGCGGCGGAAGCAAGCGGCGTCACCTGACAAGCACGAACATCGTAAAGGATACCTTTATAGTTCGAAAATGTGAAATCTTTGCTAATCGTTAGTTTAAAAAGCAGCAAATGGTTTGATCGATTGCAATTAAGTAGATGTGATTACCGCTGGTGTTCCAAGTGATTTTTAACGTTGTCCCCTATGAGAAAATTATCCCTTTAAAGGAAGAATATGTCTTCAAGAAAAAACAACAGCTTTTCAGGATATCAGAAGGTCCGACAAGTTAAAAAGAAGTTTTGTGCAATGTTTGCGATCGACATTGAGATGTGATCTACGTGTTGTCAGTTTATACATTACATCGTCAGATTTTTAAATTATATTTTCGCAAAGTGTATTTACAATTATTTTTGTTATACCTTGACGACATACTTCACTTTCGTTGAAGACGTGACTGAATAAAATTTTGAAGTTCTTGGAGCATAATAAAAAATTATCGAAGATCAGAAGCGGACAGTAATGGATTCAAATCGAAATCTATTCGTCGAGACGCCAAAATACAGGGGTCATATATAACTGTCCGCGAGTTTCCGTTTGGTGCAACGAATCCATAGACCTACCTTAAGTCCGTCGAATAGGACTTAACCGGAATGTCAGCAGGTCTTCACGTCGGCCAAGGGCATACGAGCCTCCCTAGGTCGAGAAAGGTGATAACTATAGAATAAATAGCTAGTGTTCCATTCATAATTGAGAAAGAGCGTCCACTCGTGGCGAGGTCACAGTCTCAAACTGTAATCGATCTTCGTTTACTTAACGATGAGCGATCAGAAGTGATTACTGCTAGTTTTACGTACGAATGTCGATCGAATCGGAAACTAACTTTTCCGGCTATCGCTCATTGCTGGACGTAATACTATTGATCAATTAGCATGCAATGACTGACCTCTATTTGTATTCATTTATTAACTGAAAAATGTGAGAACCATTTAAAATGCATTGTATCATTTATCATAACTTTTCATACTTAATTATCTAATGGTTACACTTCCCTTCTTGTTTCATGACTTTATAAGTGTCTATAAAATTACAGACTTTTGTGTTATCATGAAATTAATTTGATCGTAATTGTCACGAAAGGAATTGTTATTACAGTTTGCGATTAGCAGTTGATATCAGGATATTAGAAAAGCTAATAACGTTAATTCTACTATCCGCAGTTACAACTGAGACGCGTTGAATTGCCACACGTTACCCTTCATACGCCGTGTTGTATCGCCACGCGCTATATTGTCACGTGTTTAATCGGTGCGCACTTATTTATGATTGTCCTGATTTTCAGGATGGCAACATCGATTTGGCTCATCATCATAAAAATGTCATTTTTTCTAATAATTACTGGTGATTGTTCCCGATATTGTTTATCAAGTATCATCGAACACAATGGACAATAGTGGACTTCGAGTGGAAGATGAAACACAGGTATTGCATATATGTACGCTGAAAAGCACATTAAATTTCCGTAGGAAAATGACGATGTAACATTCTATCATTTGTTATAACACTCTATCCCTATATCTCATTATCCCTAAATAAAAACGGGAAAAAGTGGTGAATATTTAAAAACTCGCATCGCGAGTTTAAATTTTAACTGCGAAGATATTTTAAATAATAAAACCCGACCATGTAGATTATCAATTTAATTGCGTACCACAATAGAAAAACGAGGCACGCTTTACTGAATTATTCAGTGAAATTATGAAATGTTAACGAAGTGTGTGGTATCCGAAGCTACAGTTATTGTAAAAAGTATTCGTGCGTCCTATAAAAGAGACTAACATTTTTTTAATTTAAAGACTTACTAATTTAAAGATTTACAAATTTTCAAACTGAATAGTTACAAATATAGAAATTTTTAAGATCACTAACTTCTAAATTGGAAAAAAGTTATTCTATCTTAGAGGATGTACAAATATTTTCTACACCGACTGTAAATGTTGTTCGTTTCATCGATCCTGACGAACAATAAGATCGCAGTGGATTAAACTTTGAATAGTGGATGCACGAAACAGTGAAACGCACAGCATGTATTGTTATTAAAGTTGCTATTAATAGTTTCCATAATATCGTAATGGAGTTTTACTTGGCACGAATTGAAAGAATTTCTCGGGGACTCGTTACAGCGTCGACCAACGCCATTTTTAAATTTAGTAATTAAGTAATTTGGGAATTTAAATATTTAGGGACTTGGGAATATGAGAATTTGGGATTCCAGAATTTAGGTATTTAAAAATTTGGAAATTAACAAATTTGAGAGATTGGAAATTTTTATTGTGAGGTATACGAGATGTCTAATAGCATCACATAAGTAGAATGTTAGGTATTTGTCTGTGACTCATTAAAGTGGTAGCTGAACGTGATTTGCGAACCACCACTTGATCATACCTGGTATATTAATCATAGTTGAGTATAATAAGATTATAACACAATGATTACTTGATTATTTTTTGTAGAGCAATCACAGCAGGCGGCAGAGCGTATCCACTAATAACACAAATAGTTTTGTCGAGGTTAGCCAAAGTGATTCAGATTCAAATACAAAAACGGAAAATGTATCATCAAGAGTACCATCAGGGAGTCCATCACCCCAAAGAACAAGATCTTCGACAGAATCGTCTTCATCTCGCGTGAACAGAAACACACATGCTGTTGAGAACAGTAAAGATATGATATACCAGATGGATAAAAATGGAATTCAATCCGCTTCGCCGAAAAACCATCGTAAATTATCTAAAACTAGTGTTTATCCCGCGGGAGCAAACCTGACCGTTCGAGATGCGTTTGGTAAGTTTCAAACGACTCTCATTATGTACGGCTCTATGAAAATAGAAGTAAGTTTGGAATGAGTCGTGTTATGTTTCACTTCATGTTGTTTGAAATGATTCTGAGAATAAAATTTAGAATTTAGGAATTTGAAAGAAAGGTCACTTATAAGTCATTATCTTCGCATCGTGAAAATAATTTAGCTGATCGATGTATGACATTTTGCATAGGGTAAAGAGGTAGTTGAAGAATTATAGAAAATGTAATAGACTTTATACAGAAACTTAGTGAACTATATTACGAAGTGCATAGTATAACTATGAATTTAAACAGCCGATACCTATAGATAAGTATTCATAGCATGTTACGATAGAAATAGGCCTAAGTCAATAAACTGCGATCAATATACATACTATACGAATGTCACTATGTCACGAATCATGTTAATATTATATGCGTAACGTGTAACTTCAACATGGTCACGAAGACTATATGATCATTAGATCTCAAAGGAAAAGTTAAATAGCACCGAACATAGTAAATGCCAAATCTAACAATTTATTACTCTATAGACACAATATTCTTTATATCCTCATTTCGAGTCTACGGTCAAATGCAAAACAAATCAGTTCCATGTCACTACGTTCGAATGTAAGCCGGGTCACCATGATTAAGGGTATTTTGAAATATTAAATATCAATTAGATATTAATTGAAATATTAAGTATAAATATAATACAAATACTAAAATGTTTCGATATTTGAGGAATTACAAGTAGTCTTATTTCGGAGATGCCTACATCTGAAGGTGCCAATATGAAATGAAAGAATTAATGAAATAACGAAGTCAATAGTAATTAGTAACTTAAAAGCAGAACTTGAAGACATCATTAATATCCGTAGGTCCTAAGCTAACGGCGCCAGCAACTCCAGAAGATTCTCCGCCATTATTGGACCCACCAATATTTCCGGACGATATACCCAGAGATTCTCTGTTACGAAAGGACTCGTCTTCAGAAACGGAAGTAGATCCCGAAACTCTTTATTTTCGGTGTGTAACATAAGATTTGTGGCACTCGATAAATCTGTTACGCACCGTAAAAAAACACCACTTGTGATTATAACCTTTATATATGCATTTGTAAATAAAATGTATTAACATTGATAATAATGATGCACGTCTTTTTGTCGGCATAAAAGTGCACAGTATTTGCACTAACTTTATGATTTTTATTTTATGTTAAATTTACATTGTCCAAACGTTAACTAAACTTTACCAAAATGTAATTGTCGATAAATCATACCATCACGCGGGGTGCACAATATTATTTTCCAGTTGTAACTAAAAACTAATTAAATCTATACCTAATAATAAGTTCACGTCAAACGAAACATATTTTCATCCTGATTGTATTTAATTTTAGATCAAGTGCCCTTTTATAACGATATTATTAGTCGTACCTCTGTACACTTATAACTATTTTGTTTTCGTTCCAAAAATAAAATGGACCAGTCACTGATTACGTTCATTACAAGTTACTACATGCAATATTGCGTTTGCAGAGATGGTCGTAGACGAATCGACATGGTGTTGGTGTACCAAGAAGATAACAATGGTGTGTTGACTGAATTAGAAGCGCGTCGAAAAGAACAAAGACGGGTTTTTCAGCAGAATCTACTGAAAGAGGGTTTGCAATTAGAACTAGAACCAAAGGAGAACTCTTTTGATAGGAAAACGTATTTTTTAAAACTACATATTCCATGGAAGACTAAAATTCAATATGCCGAAGTGATGAACTTGAAACTACCTACTAAAAGGTTTATCACGATCTCTGTTAAAGCTTGGGTGCGTTAGAACACGATCATATGTACAATATTTTTGTTACTTGCTACGTATGTTAAAATCATATAGAACAAGACACAATTACTATGACTTTCTGTACTGATAATGAAACTCCTTATTTCCATTAACAGGACAATGAGAATGCGAAGCAGAGACCGAAACTTTGGGACAAGTGGACGCGGTGTATAAGTTGGATAAAAAAGCTGCATACTTGGGATACTAAAAAATACGCTGAAGAACCGAGTTTTTATGATAGTATCGACTCTGGGGATCGAGAAGAGAGGTAACTAAATACAAAGACAGTAAGGAGAATGAATGAAATAATTAATCTTGGATTCAATACTTTCGTTCTTCTTAACTACCTAGATTTGTAGTAAAAGATAGGGATACAGCTTACACGCCTGCTCAAAGGTCATTAATAGTGATGCAAATACTGTTGAGAGCAAGGTACGATGAAACTCATGAGAAGTCCGGCATTCGTCGACTTCTGGCTGATGGTACTTACCTCGATTGTTATCCTTTACACGAGGGACCTTACAATAAACCAGGGCTCAATGGAGAAATTCTTGATAGGCATTTGTTATACTTAATATGGGCTAGACCTTCTCAATGGTAATTTACCATTACCAAATGAATACAAGTTTTTATTTGCAAAGTTTTAATTTTAAAATACGTGGTATTGTAGGTACAAAAGACAACCTCTGTGGTTAGTTAGGCGATATTTTGGGGAGAAAGTGGCACTGTATTTTGCATGGTTAGGATTTTACACGAAATGCTTGTATCCCCCAGCAATTGTTGGACTGTTGTGTTTCATGTATGGTGTAGGAAGCATGGACAGCCCTGATAATATACCGAGTAAAGAGATATGTGATTCTAATATAGCAGGTAATAATTCAAACACTTTTATTAATTTTAATGTATTTAATACTTCTATTTACACAATTCATTTTTTCCAGGAAATATCACATTATGCCCTCTTTGCGATAAAGCGTGCGATTACCAGACACTTGGCGAGTCTTGCATATTTTCAAAATTAACTTATTTATTCGACAATCCTGCTACCGTATTTTTCGCTATTTTTATGTCATTTTGGGGTACGGCGTTCGAAGTAATAATAACTGTATCCATCGAAGAATTATGCTTTATAGAAACATTTTTGTAGCTACAACCTTTCTCGAATTATGGAAACGAAGGCAGGCTGTGATAATTTGGGAATGGGATCTCCAGAACGTTGAAAGTGACGAAGAGCCTAGACCCGAGTTTGAAACCACGGTAAAGACGTTTCGAATAAATCCTGTAACTAGGGAAAGGGAGCCTTACTTACCAACGTGGTCTAAAGCCTTACGTTTCTGTGCCACGGGTTCTATAGTATTTTTTATGGTAATTTTATATAATTATTTTAAGATTCTGTGTCAATATCTTTGCATTAACTTTAAGGATTAATATAAATATAATGTTATTAGATATGCGTGGTTCTGGGTGCCGTACTGGGAACCATTATCTATCGTATATCACTCGTGTCGGTGTTTTACAGTGGTGGAGGATCATTCTTAAAAAAACACGCAAAAATCTTCACCTCTATCACTGCTGCTCTTGTGAACTTGATAATCATTATGTTACTTACGCGAGTGTATCATCGTTTAGCACGATGGATGGTTAACATGGAGAACCCTAGAACCCAGACTGAATACGAGTCTAGTTTCACTTTCAAGATATTTCTTTTCGAATTTGTCAATTTCTACTCGTCTCTCATTTACATCGCCTTCTTCAAGGTTTGTCAGAATAACGAGTTACGTGCATTATTTGTGGAACCAAAAACATTCAAGAAAATTATTCATAGGGGAGGTTCTTCGTTCATCCGGGTGACGCTGACGCAAGATCTTCAGAGTTCTTTCGCATAAAAACGGACGTGTGCGATCCAGCTGGTTGTTTATCGGAAGTTTGCATACAACTTGCTATTATAATGGTGGGCAAACAGTGTTTCAACAATTTTGTGGAGATATTGTCGCCGAAATTGAGGAATTGGTGGCGCAAAAGGAATCACGTATCCGCTACTAAGGATCACGATCGCCAGTACACTTGTTGGGAGAAGGATTATCAATTGCAAGATCCTGGCAGACTTGCTTTGTTCGATGAATATTTAGAAATGAGTCAGTAATATTTTAACAAGCTTCAACACATTAAATTCTCTTTACACAGTGCAGTGTTACTATATGCACACTATACATATTAGAATATCCATATTTTTATATCATTTCCCGGTGTGCAGTTTTGCAGTATGGATTCGTGACCTTGTTCGTTGCCGCCTTTCCATTAGCGCCGTTGTTTGCACTACTAAATAATATAGCGGAGATACGTTTGGACGCTTATAAAATGGTGAAAGAAGCAAGGAGACCGTTGGCAGAGAGGGTGGAAGATATAGGCGCTTGGTTCGGTATACTTCGAGGGGTGACTTATGTTGCAGTAGTATCAAATGTATGTAATAGCAGAATCAATACAAGGCTTTTAATTAGTAATCTAGCATGCGTTTACCATAATGATTCAGTTCTTTTGATATTCAATAACAATTTGGTTTACAGGCATTCGTTATTGCTTACACATCGGATTTCATTCCACGCAGCGTGTACGCGATTGTTTATTCACCAACGAACGATTTGGTAGGGTATATCGACAGTTCTCTGTCGGAATTCAATACATCTGATTATCGAGAAGACATGAAGAGCGATATGAAGTCGAAGCATCCGGAAACTTGTCAATACAGAGGCTATAGAAATGGACCGGATCATCGGACCGATCCGTACGGACTTAGCCCACAATATTGGCACGTCTTCGCGGCTCGTTTAGCCTTCGTTGTTGTTTTTGAGCATCTCGTAAGTGTTAGGTCACGAGTACAGTGCACTTTCGTTACATGGTTAATTTTAGACTTGTACTTATCGATTCAATTTAAATTGTATGATAGATGCTTGACAAACAACTGATTGTATTAATACTTCAAATGTATGAATTAGGTTTTTGCTTTAACGGGTATAATGAGTTACGTTATACCAGCCGTGCCTCAAGCTTTGGCTACACAATTGCAACGGGAGCGTTTACTCGCTCAAGAGGCCAAATATGAAAAAGGTTTGAAGAGCAGAGAAGACGAAGATGACATCCTCTCCATGCTGAGAGAAGCAGGAAGCATTGGAAGAGCTGCAGGTGGTGGTAGAGGTAGTTGGGCCAGACGGTTCAGCAAACTGAGCGATGGTTTGGATGCTCATGTTGATGTAGCTTCCAGACAAAACAGGAACAGCGATGGTTCGACTGTATGGGAAGTTACATAACTTTCCTAATTAACCACTTAGTGAGACTATTAACGTAATGAGACTATTACGTTTTCTCTTTGAGAAGTGTACTTAAAAACATTTTTAGAATATTTAATTTATTTGTGCAAAAGTGTATTAGTTCTACCGTACGTATGTTCTACCTATGTACAGTTATGGTAAGTACTAATGTAAGAACAAAGTAAGTACAAACAATAATTGTGATATCTTAGAAATACATAAAAACAAAAGAAGAATACGTACTTGAAATGGAAAGCCAAAAATAATTTTTGATGCTTCTTGAATGTACGCTGTTAAGGAAAGTGTTAATAATTACTTAGAAAGACTTGAACACTTAATGCTCGTGAGATCAATGATATATGTGTGTGATTTACGACACCAATGTTATCAGTATTACCTCTTTTACAAATATTTAAAATGCAATTCTCTATTTTCGAAGATGATATTTTATTCTTATAATTATAGATAGAATTGTTGACGATGTATGAATAGAGTGTTGCTTGATAATATAGCAAAACTTATTGTTCCAGACTTTTTGATCTTGTAACTTTTTAACATGAAAGTTTGAATGTTACTTTCTTAATGAAACAAAATTGTGTATATACGTGTATAGTCGTTTACAACAGTGTGTATCATTTTTAAAGTCTCTATTGATAAACCATTCCAGCATGTTACACAGAAATTTAGATGTTATGTACGTAAATATTTTTAAGTAATTGTTAAAAGATGGTGCATCATAAAAAGATACAAATTTTATAATACAGGAAATGAGAGTTATAAATTGTTTTGCGATGTTTACAGTCTTACAGAAAGGGATAAAAAATTCTTGAAAAAAATCTATACAATATACTCTTTATTGTACATAATTTCAATATTTCATTCTTCGTCTTACGCTTGACATTATTACAATAATTACTATAGAATATATTTATAATAATATACATGTACATATTTACTTCTTTTTTTTTTTCTTTCTATTGATTCGATTTATATGTATATTGGCCTATGAATCATTCCATACTGCACTTTCTTGCGTCTTCTGTTTCCTTTTTAAAATCTAAAAGTGTATCACAGTTGTGTTGAGGGATAGATAGGGATTTGTTTTAAAGAAAAGGAGACCGTTCAGACCGAAATCGATACCTAGTCCATTCAGTCGGATCTCCTTCAGATCTGATGGACGACACTAAACAAATTTGACATCGTTAATTTGTTCAATAAACGGCTGCGATGAAATGTATCATACATTCCTAATAGTCCGCGAAAGCGACTATAATATAAAACATTCAACATCGTTTAATTTAAGATATATTCTGTTGAAAGATAAATTATCAAGAAACTCGTCGTTTTATATGTAATTTTTAAAAGCGAAACGTTTTTCGTTTTTCTCTTAACTTGCCTACAAATATAATCGTTTGTAACAATCTGTTCTACTGTAATGTAGACTCTAGTAATTGATATATTATTACTTTGTGCTAATTATGTTACTTTATCTTATTTCGTTTTTAAGGAATCTCAGCAAAAGGTATTGTTACATTACTATATCTTTTGCTTATAAAATGTACACACAATATTCAGAACATTGATTTGCTCCAAACTTTTGCACAATTATGTGATCTTAAAAAAAATTGTATAAAATGCATGCATTTTTCTAAAATATGGAAGAAATTTATATCTAAAACTAGTTTAGTTCAATGGCAAGGTACTGTCTTTGCTAACCTAAATATTATGATTCATATTGTAAACTTCCTAAGTTTTTAAAGTTTCACATTTTCTATTTAATTCTTTAAATTATATTAAACACAAAATCCACTATAGACTAGTGATAAGACGCTTCATAAACATATGTACTCAAAAACGTATAGCTAGCTTGCATGTTTATTTCTAGGTTATAATGGATTCTGTATTTGCTAAGCTTTACATTTATGGAAAACTGTGCACCCAAATTTTTCTCGAAAAAGTGCACGCTACAATCTGATTGAGTTATTATTCTCGATCTCATAATTGTGCCAAGTTTGAACTCAGTGTTCTGGAGGTCGTGTGCCTCCCTTGTTAACATTGTTTCTAAATGATTCTATAGTGTACACTATTTGCAAAATTTATAATTATATTATTCTTTGTACCTCATCTTTCTTCCTACTTTTGTAATTTATGGTTGTATTAAAACTAATGTTCATTGTGCTGACGATACGAGACTCAAGTGTAAAATTATCAGATAAATTTTGCTGACATTGTCTAATTTATAAAAATATATCGTAGATTTGAACCATTAGATATTAATATATTTGTCGTTCAAGCGATTGGTACAAATTTTTCGTTTCAAACGTCTTTCATGATAAATGGTAACCGAGTTCATTAAATTGAACAAGATACAAAAAGCCCTCTATTTAGTGATTATACACTCGCTTGGTAAAAAAATCTCTAAAAATATACTATATACGATGAAATATTCTATATCTTCCGAAAAATAAACTTACAATAAAAATAGTGTCACGTGTGTTAAAAGACAAATAATAAAAAAAGGAATGTAACAGCATCTCATCACGTAAAGGCCGTATATAGAGATGATCTTTCGTGTTGAATGATTTGTATTAACATATTTACCAGTTTACTACACGTGTTTCAAGTAGCAAACTGTTATGGTAAATACATTAATACAAAGCCTCGAATAAAATTTATGATCTTTTAAAGCTTTCTGTGAGAAAGTTACGTAGTTCTATGAAATTACAATAACAATCACACTGTACAAGTAAGTTATTCGACTCAGTTAATCCTCCTGACTGGACTAAATCTCGATTTCCAAAAGATGTGTTTTAATTTAGGTTAGAGGTAGGAAGATGTTAACACTTAACTAGATCCAGGAGGAGCATTGAAATTAAACATGGTGGTTGGTGGACGTCCTGGCAACGGTTTTGGTGGTAATCTAGGTGTTACCGATCCTAAAACATAATATACGATGTAAATGTACAACAATAATAATATACAGGGTGTCAAAACAGTTACTTTTGTATGCACTTATTCTTTAATTGAAAAAAATTTAATTTATGTCCTGTTTGAAATAAGCGTAGAACTTTGCATTAAAATGATAACATCTACGTTTATTTTAAATCGAACGTAGTTTCGTTAGAAATTTTACCATTAGGTTGCGTAGGTGGAAGTTTCGTAGGACTTGGCCCATTGAAAGACATGTGTCTTCGTGTATGAACAGTATTTGAACATGTGTTTTCCAATGTGGAATTCCGCCTCGCAAGTAACGCTGAACAATTTGGATTCAACGGAAGGCGAGGCGGTAATGTTACCGGGGGCAAGTCTCTTCGTGGCGGTAATGGCGGCGGAAACGTATTATCCCGTGGGGGAAGCATTGGTGCATTTGGAGCTTGTCTCGCCTGTGCATTCAATTATAAATAGTATAAATCAGTAATATATATATCACGATTTCTTCCTATAACGTTGATATTGTGAAAAGGAATGGAATTTAAATTGCATACTATTGCGTTATAGCAAAGTTTTACTGTATGACCTTGAATAGAGTTGCATAGAAAAAAACAAGTAGAAATTGTAATTTTTTACTTTGAAAATTTTAGCTCTTCAAATTCTTTAAATGTATATAATTTACCTGTTGCGGTGACTCGCTAATAGAACTTTCTCGTTTCCTATGAGATCTGGGTGGCAAAGGGGGCGGAGGTTGATTAGAAGGTACGTGGCTAGGAGATGGCGGAGGTGGCATCGATGCACCAGGACTTCCACTTGACGACGACATACCGGTCAAAGCTCCCATTACACCAATCGTACCGGAATTAAAACCGAAGTGACTACTCTGTGGTTGATGATGCGGGACAGGCAAGTGACCAGGAGATACCATTTGCGGACTACTACCCGGCGAACTGATCGAAAGTCCTGACATGCTAAGAGGACCTGGTGAACCTGGAGGTTGAGCTGTACCTATATTAACAGTAAAGTACATCTACTACCTATCCAAGCACACTATGCAACAAAATAAAACTTCCGTGTGTCATTTATAAACTTAAAAAATTTATAAAAAGCATCCAGCGGTTAGATTTTTTATGTTAGTGCTCACGAACCTCCTAGTAAAACAGGTGCAAAGACACTGTGGTCCCCTACGTGAGAAACTGTGATGTGTGAAGTATGCGGAGGAGTTTCCGGTAGCTCTGGTGGTTGCACTTCCGGTGGAGGATCATGTAATCTCACGCTGGAAGCTACTGCTTGCAATGGAGCTGGTAGTTTCCCGCTTAAACTTCTAGCTTTAATGCCCGGTGACTTTAAGTTTAAGTCTGGCCATTTACGAGGCTGTAAGCATAACAAGCAACTTGTAAGAAAAACGTTGTTGTATAGAGTACGACACTTGTTTCAAACTACTGTAATAAGACTTACGACTCTAGGCGGTTGCCTACATCCTCTTGGTTCTACTTCTAAGCTTTTATTGTACAAATAATTGCTTATATCAGCTTCTTTCATATTGGGATCGAAAGGTGATAAGTTTTCGATAAAATGCCTTATTCTAGGCTCAAGTGAAAGACAATAAGGTTGATTTTGGTACTGCTGAATTTCTCCGGTTATCTCTGCCACTTTCCGTCGCTTGCTAAAATTGATAAGTTCTGGACTTCCAGGCAGATAATCCGAATTTCCTTCCTCAATATGTAAAATGTTGGTCAGGTACATGCCTACCAAGCAATAGTATCGGTAAACATTTATTCAAATTGTTTAGTTTATTTTTCACTGCTTACCAAAGAATGGTACACATGGGGGGTTGATAGATCGTAGTTTCTCTTGATATTTTCGAAAACGACCGTTATTATTTAATTCTCGTGCTTCTTCGAGAGCTTTCTCCAATCGTGCAGGTAATTGCTGTAGTCATGATAAAATTTATAATTAGTTCATATTATATAAGGAACATTGCGTAAAATAATGTAGGAAACGTACTTGAAAGGTGAATTTTAACCTAAACACAGACGCTGAACCCATAGCGCTAACAATTGCTAATACACCATTAAAGTTATTAAGATCTTGAAGCACCATCATGATTTCAATTGCTCGTGACACAATTGCTACTCTCTCTTCTAAATTTTCCGCTTCAACTATATTTTTCTCGATCCATCGCGTGAACTATAACAAAACAGTATTATTAATATCTTTTTGTATTACCTAAACTAGTGGATTAAATACATTAGCTATAAACTCACATAAATTAATTAGTACGTATTCAACTTACGTTTGTCGTGTGCTTAATCATTTTTAATAAATTTGGAGATGTCTTTTCTTTATCTCGCTTAGTCCACACTGACCCTACTAATTCCGAAGGTTTTACAGTTCTATACAATTCAAATTCCAACAGAGTTAGTTGCCTCGCTAATTCGATTGGATGTAACTGAAATTTTTAGACAATCATTAATTTGTTCATTGACATAATACAAATGAAATGTTTACAAAATATAAATTTTACCGTTAATATTCCCCATTCTTCTTCAGGAACTTTTAAATGCCACTCAATAGGTGGGGGAGATCGTTCGAAACTAAATGTTATAGGTCGTTGTTCCGAAGGTTCGCATTTTCTTTGCACAATTTTTATTACAGAATCTACCCACTTTCTCATTGACTTTCCACTTACTGTGTCTAGAAACGATTGTAATCTTTCCAAAAGATTTCTATCCCGTTCGAAATCATAAAAATGATGATCGACCTAATTTTGATTAAATGTAAATCAATATTAGAAAACCCGAGATTAAAATATGTTGAACTGAAAATGATAATACGAACCCAATGTCTTAAAACATTTAAAACTCTGAATTGCACGGGTTGACAAAACTCTTTTCTATATCTTTTCCAATCTTCCCTTGCAGTTGTTTTACAACCAGAGGGTTTTTCTTCCTCGCCATAAACTAACGAAGGGTCTGGTATGTCAAACCTTTCAATTAACAAAGTTAATAGTTCCTGAGGTGAGCAAAAACTCCTGAGAAAGAATCAATATATTATTAAACATTTTCATAAATATTTTATTAATTACAAACTTTGATTTTAATTCACGAACCTATAAGTAGTAAGGAATGTTCGTACAAAAGCTGGGTCAGCATATATATGATAAGTTAATCTCTCTACCAATTTAACCAAAGTTGCGCCCTTAATTAATGGGACACCTCCATTTTCTCTAGCCTCCAAAACAATATTTTCTGGGCTATCTTGTTCGGCAAATTTATACAAATGTGGTGGAGGTAACCTTAAGGGATGCTTCCTTTCTTCGTCCAAAAGGATACTGTCCAAAGTTCTTTCTAACATACTCTTTGTATTTAACATTACAAGATCCGCCATCCAACTATTTTTATCTTCGACGGATTTGGCAACAAGAATAACATTAGGGTGGTCCCTTGGTGCAATTTCGAAGGCATTTTTTAGTTCTAAAAAAATAATTCCATACATTTAACAATTATTTCAATTGCACAAATTAACAATTACAATGTCGTGAATTGTTTTCTGAATGTACCTTCAGTATCCTCCCTATCAATAATATCAACTTTTCTAATAAAAAATCTTTCCTTTAAACGCAATTCGCCCTGATGAGGTGGATGACCCACCACACCAACTGCTGCAACAGTAACGCTAACTCTTTTGCCACCACTGGGTTTACAAAGAACTAATAAACCATCAAACAGAAGAGCCTTTCGTTCTGTTAACCTTCGTCCATTACTTACTTTTCCTAACATATCCTCTGTAAACAGAAATTATATTAATAATGTAATCTAAATTATATGAAGAACAAAATACAAAAAAGGTGATATTTCTTCTGCATACCACGTATAAATTCGTTGCAACATTGTCCAACATCCCTTTGATCCCATCCATCAACAGTTTTTTGTAATTCACTAGTTTTCTCTAAGGCTGCTTGCCTCCTTGCTCTACTTTGCATTCGCAGGCCTGTATCTTTTTTTGGAAGACTTGCCATAGATTGTAATAATTCCATCTGTAGTGGTCTTAAAAGACCTTGTACTTGTTCCAAAGTTTCACCATCTTCTATACTTGGTGTACGTTTATGTAAAACCTAGATATACCATTATAAAATCATTAAAGCAATATAAATCATTTCATTCGTGTGTGTAATAAAATTATCAAAAAAAGTACCTTTATATAGTCAAAGTACAAAAAACAATGCCATATTGGTTGTAATAAAAGTTTTGGCAAATAATATTTAACTGCTTCTTTAAATCCATGTCCTGCTGCTCGTAATGCAGCATTAGCTTCAGGCCTTGACAATAGATTTGCTAAAACTTCCCGACTAGTTGGACTATTAATATCTTTTGCATACCTAATGTTACAATTGTGACAATTAATATTCCAGAAAAATATATATTTGTGATTAATTATTGATATAATTGTTTACACACTTTATATAAACATCAAATTCTTCTGCTTCTGCCAATTCTTCAAAACATGAACCAACCGTGGGTGTTTGTTTCTCTTCTGTAATTTCCATTATATCTTCTAAACTACCAAGCAATGTTACAGTAACATCATAAATATCCATAATATTACTAAAAAGTATTTCAAGTTCAGTTCTATCTTGTGCTAACTTTGCAACTTCTTCCCGAAACACCTATATCAAAAAAGAAAATTTAAGTTTGTTCAATTATATATGTTATTCATTAACTGCCTTACCTTAATGATCATATGGAGATCACGTAAATAATGACGTTCATCATGTATGAGATCCCTAACAGATTCTTCATAAGTTTGAGAAACAACGGCGCCTAAACCACTTTGTGGACCCTCTGCATAATCATCTTGATAAAACAAGTCCATTAGTACCTGTTAATAAATCAGTAATATTACGAAAGTGTGATGCATGTTTCATATTTCCTAAAAGAGATACATTACCATATCGGCACACATTGCAACTCTTATATCTTCACAAGATATCTCCACATGACGTATATTTTTGACATAGTTTCCAGCTAGCTGAAAAGAAAATAGTCTTAAACATTTTCAGAAACTTACACCAGAAATAACATAAAAAGAAACATTTTATAAAACAAAAGAGTAATCATAATCAATGAACTCTTAATTAATATTTGCTCATATAATTAATATTACCAATAATCACTGATACAGAACTAATGATAGGTTTCACCAACCTTCAAAATATCTGCTGAAATGTATTCCAGGACTCCTACCACAAAAAGACTAACTTGTAAATCAATTTTCTGTTGTAATACTTCCTGTTAATATAAAAATATGAAATTATAATACACATGTATTTAGCAATTAAAATATACATAAAATAGAATCTATTTATTGTAATTACTTTTTGTAACAACTGATGAATTTTATCAACTGGAAGAACTAGCGGTGACTTCTTCTTTCCTTTTTCTAAGGCATCTCTCGCATCCCTAAGTGCCCATCTATCGATGGGAGTAGGAAATGTACGCCTTACTCTTTCCTCTACATCTTGAGGCGTATGTGGAGGAGGATGACCACAAAGCATTCCCAAAAGCCTCAAGATCAAACTCTCAACATAGTCTAAGGCATCTTGTCGTGCTTCAAGACTGGGGTGTACTTGTTCCAATACCTATTTTATATTAATAGTCTATTAAATTACGGTGATTGTTATTTATCACAAAAAATGTCATATAAGTATTCTATTACTCAAATACGATCTTCTGCTTAAAAAATATTTTATCAATAAAAATTATTATTCTATATTATTGTGTTCTAACAATTTCAATATTAGGTAAAAGATATTATAATCCCCTAATCAATCATTCTCTTTATGTGATATATAAATATAATCAAATCATTGGTTAATCTAAATAGTTACAAGGATTTGTTAATAACTAATGATTCAAGTATGTAAACTTTACTTCTTTATAAATAATGATACACGTCTCTTATTCTTAATTTTGACGAGACAGCTGCATAACTTATTCAGTAGTAAATATAGCAATCTTAGTAAAAATAATATGCATCTGTTAATCTTCAAGATATTTGTTATAACAGTAACATTTTGGCCTGTAGCATAAATTCATGTACTTTTCCTTGTTTTCCATTTACCGATCATTCTGAACATCGATTCAAGAACTAATTTTTACTTAACTGTAAATTCTTTGAATCGATCAAATGAAGAAGGTAACATCAAATGGCATACGTTAGTCATAAAATAATAATTCAAATTATCAAAAATGTTTATTTCAATATTGTTATTGTAAACCAGTTTTGTTCAATCTTGTGTTTCAAAATACTGGTGTCCTCTGAATTCTGAAGGAAAATAAAAAACTCGCACGTGAAACGCGTGACAATGACAATGTCGTAAACCAACGAAAGCTTATCGATAGTATCAGGGCATAACTGAAAGTAGATTGATCGAAATTTTCATAGGAATAATTCGAAAGGAGAAAATACCTTGCGTAGGGAGTTGACAAACACTCCCTTCCACTTGGCGGCGTTCTCCTCTTTCTGAAAGTCGTAGCCTGACGGCTCGCCCACCACAGATGCCGGCGACGAAAACATCTCCACGGACTGGTGTAGGGGATCGAACCCTACATACCTCGCGAGAGCGAGAGAAACACAACACACTGCGACACGTTATTTCGGTTTATTTAAACATAACAGATGTAATACAAAAGTCTCGACGTGATACAACAGTCTCGATGCGTTACCACGCGGCGTGGCGTCCGTACTGGTAGGAAACTGTAATAACATAAGAGAATCGCAAACCATTGACTACAGATATAACAAGACTTTGCATGCCTTTGTCAAAGAGTAGGTATAACAAGAGGCGACACTCTGACAAAGAAACTACTTTTAGAGAGAGATAGAATTGTACAACCAATTTAAATGCCCATGCCAAATGAAACAGGGTGGGGATACGATTTCGATGCGGTGCTCCGAAAAGCGAATGTACATAATGTACAAGTATGGCGTTCGGTAAAGAATGGTTTATACCTGCACATCATATGTAATTTATTTGTAATAAATATATTGCCATTTTTTTGTAACATATTTATCTGTATTTTCTTGTAATAAATAATTCGTAATTTCTTCATAATGCTAAAATATATTTTGTAGAATAATTATTTTAGTACATTTTTTTCTTTTTCAATTTTTCAATGTTATAAAATTAATATAAATACTTTGAAAGCTAATATTCGCAATACAGAGAAAATTTACGACAAATTTCTAATTATTAAAGGGTGACACAAAATTACATTCACTTGATTTAAATTTCCCGCTCGTCTGTACAACCAATTTAAAGGGACAGGCTTTACCGAATATCAAAGGCGCCGCCCGGAGTGTCGCCTCTTGTTGTACCTACTCTTTGCCTTTGTTCTCGAAGGGTCATGGATTTTGGGGTCCGAGGACCCCAGGGTGAGGTACGATAAATAGAAGAAAGCAGCTATATCGACAGTCCTATCTGTTTTACCCGTTTATCTTTTACCACATACATCACGCAACTACCTTATCCACTGAAGCAGAATAAAGGGTGATATACTTTATTAAAACGAGAGAAACGTCGCAATTCACGTAGCTAGTTGGTATCCCTGTAGCTTTGCTTTTTACATCGTGATCATATACAAGGTGAACAACAATGCATGCATAAGTAGTAAAAATATAATTTTGAAAATGTATTTAATAATTTCTAAAACTTTCTGCGCGCTAGGTATACACGCTTCAAGTTATTTTGACGTTACCAACGCCTGCGCGTTACTTCAGATTAGGAAGTGCGAAGAACCAATCATAGCAGAAATGCGTATCGTGAACGAAAACTTGTCGTTCGACGTTACGTTTATCTCGCCAACATATGTATAATATATGCAATGTTGCCAAATGAAACTTCGTATATACGGCAACATCGCTTTTTAGGCTAATACAGACCGAAAATCTGGATTATTGAAGCTGAAAAGGATTGTTCGCTGTTCAGTAAGCCAAGCCTAGGGCCCGATCGAACTGTACAGTCACTCTGATCAAAAAGTGCAACATTTTATTGTGGATGTGGAAGCACTATTTTGATATTATAATATTAACATAACTACTGTTCTAGAATTTTTAACTACCGACAATTTAGAACTACCGACATTAAATGCTCACTTATCGAAGAATGAAAACAGACATTTCCAGAAAATCGCGACAATAAAATTTTATGATATAAAATGAGAAATCTGAAACCAGTCATTTTGACTGGTTGGTAGTTTTATTGGACGTAAGTTCGAGTTCCTCATCCAAACTTTAGCTTTTTTTAATGTTAATTTTTTGTTCTAACCGTGCCGCAATGAGTAATAGTCATAACTTGAACATGTACGTATAAAATTCTATGATAATTCAATACAGTTTACTGATGTGTCCCCTTTTGCCGCAGAACGTTAGAAAACGTCAACTTTTTTGAAAAGCATATGAGGTTGGCAACCTTTAACAGTATCTCATCAATGGTATAATTCAAATAATACAGTCGATATCAAAGTAATCTACTGTTACCCTTAAGTGTATTAAACTGCTGCAGCATGAAGTGTTTCATAATTTTATACTAAAATAAAGTAGATGGCGCTCGTTCCCGAGTCATAGATTCATGTTCCCTTTAGGACAAAGGCATGCATAGTCTTGTTATATCTGTAGTCACTGCGCAAACATAAGAGAGTTGCCGCTTCGTCGCCAGGCGCTGCTCGCACGACCCGACTTCCGCGCTCCTGGCTGTCGTTCTAGGAAGCAGTCTCCAGGATCTCTCTCTCGCTCCTGGGATGGTTTCGACGGTAACGATATGACAACTCTCTCGGATTGTCGCGCCCTCCCTACGACCGATCGACGTCGGGCCCACTCTCGATCGGGGACTCGTCGAGCTAATAGTTGTGCGCGTTTTCTACGTCGCCCCATCCTAGGACCGACAGGAGATCGGCTTATAATTCGGACTTTGCTGTGAACTCTGCTTCAGTGGTAAAATTCTCCATCATTACGGTACGACACGACGCCATGCAAACACGAGCAGCAGATGGGGATTTGATGGACCACCAATTCGGAACTCGGAATTCAACGTTCAAACACTGGAAAGGGGGTGATGTGGTGGGCTCATTTCTATGCTCATTACCACTAGACGGCGCTCAACGTAAACGTCGGCTTTCTCGCTAGTGCTCGAAGAGCTGTTGATTCCTATATATAGTTTCCTGTCCATCCCTAATACATAACCCCGCGTCTAAGGTACGGGCCTGTTACAATGCCTTACGGATGAGTTCTCACTAGTGCAGCTCTCGAAACACGCGCTCTCCTCTCCTCGTTTGCTCTATTTTTTTTTTACACTTTTCCACCGTCACCAGAAATTATAACAACTACCGACAAACTGGCACACAGGGTATCACACATCCAAGAGAATAACACGCACTAGCTAGAGAAGCACGCTCCGGAGAGTTCCCGAATTTTGCAAACATTTCGTCGGGAATCACAAAAACTTAACAGAGACGTCTGTCTGTCCGTCAGTCCGTTTCTCAGGGCATAGACATCTCTGTGGATAATGCGACAACTAAGCCACTCGGTGATATTTTCTCAGGATTCCGATGTTTTTTACCATTTATTATTCTTGGAAGCATCTCCGAGGCCAACTCGAGAGTCCCCGAGTTATGCCGTTTGTGCATTTTACACACCCTTTTATTCGAATTTTTGTTAAAACCCAGCACGAACACCACCACTACCAAAGGATACCATTGCGCGACTCGCATCGATCGATAATTGCGATAGTACTCCGCTAACGAGATTTTTGCGAGATCGAGATATCGCAGTTAGACTCGATCGATGTTAAGAATTTTTTAAAATTTTATCGACGGTTGGCGTTGAAAAGTTTATTTCCGCATACCGTATATTTTTATGGATGATATATTTCGAATTTTCGAATAGAGAAACGGTAAAAAACGTACGATGGAGAAATTTAGAAGGAAATTAAAGTTAGATAGATATGGAGAACACAAATTGAAAACTGCAAGGTTGAAAGTACGTCATATATTATTTACAGTCATGAATCTAATAATACAAATAATGTAATTGACATTTTTTACATTTCTCAAATCACTCTATAGTACGATGGGTAATGCACGAGCGCCAATACTGCGATCGGTAATTTACCTGCATGCACGGTAGGTGATTTATCCGCGCCGCCATTTTCGACGTTTCGTCGGTAATTAGTGCTGGAGGCAATGGGTGCATCTAATTTGTAGGCGAAGTCGATCTCTGTTTTATTTTTGTGGATAATGTCTATTTGCAATTAATTTTTATAACTTCATAGTAAAGTTGTTTTATTGTGGAGGATGATATTCACATTTATTAACAATTTGGATCTGTTAACACTTCTCAGATATTGCCATTTTCTATTTCGATAGTTCGTCGTATGATCGCTAAATGACGCTAGTAGTATGTTAGCTAAAAGTGCGCGCAAATATATAAATTATAAAAGACTTGTAAAAATGAGGCTTCCAAAATGTTTTTAATTTTTTCAATTCATTACTTTACATTAAAGACAGAAACAAGGCAGAAAAATATTGTATGTGTACACTTACAATGATAGAAACAGTAAAACCCTTAAGGAACACTTCTTAACGGATACGTAAAAACAAATTACGTCATCATTCTACGTGCTTCGCCTATTTTTTTTTTCTCGTGGTACAAATTATCAATATTTTGCTTTTTTTTTTATCTTTCAGAATTTAGGGCAATTTCTGGGGATTGGAATGACGGGATTTATAAGTAAATAAATATACAAATACATGTATTTATACATATTTATTTTGAAACACTTTCGTACATCAAATGACTTAATTTATTTTATTAATAGATAGATACATTATTAACACTTAATTCTAAGATGGAATTATCATAATAATATGTACATATTAGTATGCGCTGTAGTACAGGATCTTGTAGAAAGCTAATAAAAATCTGTTGAGAAAGTAAAGATGTTAAACGCACCCTTATGCAGGTTTGACGCAGCGCCATCTAGCAGTGATACGCGGAACTTTAATTAAATGTCGTTCACATTAGGTTATTTTGACAGGTACTTGTCTAATCTGAACGCCCCTTTATGAAGGGTCGACGCAGCGCCATCTAACAGTGATACGTGGTACTACAACAGAAACTTCGCTGATGGCAAAAGTAGTTTAAGCCATGCTATCGGACCGACGAGCTAGTCTTTACAGCATTGAAGTGGAGGAAGGATCTCTGCGTTCCATTTAATCAAAGTAAGTCCTATTTTTTAATATTACACATATATTTAGTCACAACAATTGTACATTATAAATAGTTATTCAATTTTTATTTTTACAATTCACATTTTCGGTTTACCAATGTTCTAACTTTCACGTAAAAATATTATTAAATCGTGCGACAACAATAAATATATAATGATATTATAAATGCTTTTATTTTTCAGTTCCAAAATTGAATATACACACAATCTGCCACGGTCTTCGACAAAGTATTAAGCCAATAAAGAGTTACATAAATTAAAAATTCTACAAAATATATTTGCAAATTGTATGTATTTATGAAGTTACAATAAATAAACAAAAGAAATCATGTACTTATTTACAATCCTTTCCATTACATTCTTAAACATAACAGACAATCAACAGGTCAGGTCAGGCCTACGGTTAAGTTATATTAGGTTAGGTCAGGATCAAAGGTTAGTTCGGATCATGTTAGGTCAGGAACTAAGGTTA